TAGGCCTTCTAAGAAAGTGACTTAATCAAATCTCGCGCATTCTTCTTGAGTTAGATAGAACGAAGGTTGTATGTATGCCATTTGTAACGAGATGATGTACATAAAAGGTGGCCAGTGTTTTGTCCATAAGAATTTCTGCATTGCAGTCTAACCGGTTCCAATAATTATTCTGATGAAAAAACACCATGCATTTGATTATATTAAAATGCCGCAGGACAATACCATTATCCGTGTGGTGACGGATTAAGAATACAGAGTGTCACCACCCCTATTCATCCCGTGGGTGTCGTAAGAGCCGACTAAGGGATTAAACTACTCGGAACAACAGCACTGCAGAGAGAAAGAAAACTTGACACAAACCCTATACCAACCCGTCTGGCCAGCGTGGTATAGTAGGCCAAAACCTCCTTTCCAAGCAGAGTCTTATTTCCAGCAGTGGACTATTAAAGGCTGTTGATGTGATGGTGTGATATGAGGATAACACCACACAGAAAAGTGAGCAATCCATGTGAGTAAATTTTTGATTAATTTCCCTTAGAAACCATCAGAGATTATTTGCTACGAACTTACTTAATACGAATATGTAACAAAGCCACATTGTCGTATTGATTAAACTTCGTTGTTGCAATTCAAAAAAATTAATTGGTCTACACCCAATATTCTCTCCGTTGTGTTATTATCATAGTCTCAGCCGAAAAACGTCCACTGCTGGACATAGGCTTCCTCCAATGTTCAACAACCGGTACTTTTCTCTGTTGTGTACCAATCTACTAATTCGTTTAAAAAGTCAATAAAATAAAGAAATAATCTGATATTAAAACGGTCATTATAAAATGTAATTAGTTAACTAATAAGTAAGCAATTGCACCTTACAACAATTTACTTCAAAAGAACTGCGTTTCGAGACTTACATTTCAGGTGTTTTATTTTTTACTTCGGCCGTGGCAGCCCTAGTTACGAATTTAACCTAAAGAATAAATGTATTTGTAGAAAATCCTTTGTACAGTAACAAATGTAACCATGAGACGTTATTGTATTCAGACTTGTGTTACAGAATACGCGATGGCTTTAGCGGTAACTTGTCAAAGCGACTCGTGTCTCCTCCGGGAATAATTTTGAGAAATCATTCATTCTTAATCTTTTCGCTTGTAGAAGATTACTTGCTTTTTTTCTAGTAATAATATATGAAATTACACGCAAAGACTTCGGGTTACTTTCGTTGGTTAGCGTTATATTCAGTCCTCGATCCTTGTATTATTTTATTGCTTCTATGACATTGCAATAAATAGCTGAAATTGGTTACAAATCCGGAGAAAGAGTTTGCTTGGAACCAAAGAAATATTTTTTGTTGCTCGCATGGTCTCGCAGTGAGCACCATTCGGTGAAATAACGACATAATCCGACACGTGAACGTGAGTGTGATGCAAGATAGGGTCGTTAATGTATTTGTAATATCGTAAGGGACGCATGGTTTATTTAAATACAATTTCACAATATCCCAATTATAATCTTGTTTAGTTATGGAACAATTTCAAGACTTTACTATTATGGCAGTGTTTTAGTGTAACACAAAAGTTTAGATATATCCGATTTCTTTTAAATTGTAGAGAAGAAAGTTAAACTGCTATAAGGTAGATCTTTCATATATCTTTATACATTTTGCTTCCTTGTTTGATCTAACAATAAGTTCGTAAAGCTGGTAACGCTGCTGTTACACACGTAACAGCGTGAAATATGAAAAGTTTGCGTATTATACATTTTAACGTTACCTATAAAAGTCTTCCAACTAAAAACATTAAAAGGGTACGAACGCAGTATATCAGAATTATGACTCTGATTTATTAGCCATTATACTGTGCTCCACATTTTAATACGAACAGTTTGAAGTCTGAATGGCATTAAATCATAATTAGCTTTAGTACGTGTTGTACGAACATGAGATCGGACGTATTACGGAGAATAGCGGAACTTACGTGCTTTCCAAGCTTACTATTGCTATAATAAAGGTGACTTACTACTTATATATACATAAATGTCCATACCTTCAATGGGAAGAATACATAGATAGTACTAATAAAATGTGTATAAGTTGACCATAGAAGTCGTAATAATAAGACTCTAGTCGCATAGACGCTTGACCTTGTCGACGCAATTATGTATAGACGAACACCACTTAAATAAATTCACACCAGTCGTGATTTAGTTGTTCAAACGGATCAAGGACGTGTAATTCAACTAATTAAGGCATAAAATTTCATCGGTAAGTCTATTTTTTACTAATAAATCATTGTTTTTACTAATTTACATCTCGATGAATCCTTCAATAAGATATCTGCCTTTGTAAACATTCATTTATTACTTTCCATTTTGTACAATTACCATTGGTGCTTTGGTTCTTACTGCACGCTATGTTGACAAATTAGCCAAGCAATGTAATGTGAAGCATTAGATATCGTTATTCGTAGCGTATATTTATAATACGGCTGCAGGCATCGGTCGCCAGTTAATGATGTAACCGTTCCATTCATTTGAATGAAAGTACAGTTTATATCGATGTTAGTATAAAAGGGTATTCTTCAGATTTTCGAACGTAAAAAAACTAAACGATAGATGCAGGTAAAATATTCTTAATATAAATTGTACAATAATTTCTTTAAGAATTTAATTATTTATTTAAGTTTGCACATTAAAGTCTATAAATGTTTAGCCATGAGTTTGTTTGCCCTTTCTTCTCATAAAGCTCAACCGCCCGTTTCCAAGGGGGAAACGGGCGGTTGTAGATCGGCATAGGCATATCATAGATTTTGTAGGGGTTTGATTATTGTTAAATTTATTTGCTTACTATTTTGACAAAACAGAGTTTATTACTTACTTCTTAATAACTTATTTCTACATTAATATAAATCTAATTGTTATGTGAAGGAACTATCTGTTCAGTAATAGCTTACTATTTTAATTTTTTGTACCTGTCAGTTTTAGTGTTTTGTCTTTTTAATTTTTTATTTTTCAGAATGTTTTTAATAATAATCGCCATCTAGTTTCAAGCCAAGCAGAGCTTGTGTACTATAAAAATAAGATTGTCTGATAGAATACTTAAATACTCTTTTTGTAAATACATACATATTAAAGGTAGAAAACACCCAAACTCCGAAACAAATATTATTATAATTATAATACGTGCTATTCATTTATAAGTATCATTAGTGTTAAAATATATATCTATGGTTTTCAATACTACTTGTAATCCATTTTATATTAATGTATTTTTAAAAAATCCACACTTTCGAAAAATTTAGCCAATCCCTAGCATTGTAGTTTGTGCTCTATACATTTCACCGTTGTTTTGCAAGTGTGTGCGAGTCTTGTACCTAATTGTTTGTATTTTGTGTATGTGTTAAGATGTGGCGACATCGGTTTTGGAAGTAATCGAGCGCTAATTAATTTCTAGTGTCTTAATATTACGATTTCTGTGAAGTTGACGGATATAAACGTAAAGGACAACCAAAGAAAAGATGAATAGACAGCGTAAAGACTGAACGAGCGAGTGATAGAGGAGAATGGAAAAAGAAAACTCATTCCGCCGACCCCGAATAAATAATGATATATAATATAAGGAAAGGGCAAGAAGATGGTGAGATTGAGTACTTACATATATTATACCTTTTTTTTCCGTGCGGAAATCCCTTCGGATACCACCTATCGGTGGCATGTCGAACTCGCACCGACTAAAACCGCACGCCGTCTCGGGTACTAATAGCCGCGGAACCAGGTATACCCTAGAAAGGAAGTCTAAGTTCTGCTAGGGTGACAGATGGCCTCACCTGTCACTCCCAGGCCTGCGCTTATGGAGGACGGAGGTCGTTCTGCGACTTCCGGCGCCTGAGTCGCCTGAGTCGCCTGCGGTACCTGGCCCGTTCCCGGGCCTGGCGGGCCGGGAGAATTCTAAACCTCTCCCGGTCCCGCTCCGCCGTCTCCTTCGCGAGCATAACTTGCTCGCAGAAGGAGACGTCAGAGTTCCACGCACTCTCGCTCCGCACGATAGCCGCAATCAGGCTATCGAGCGAGAGAACTCCCATTCCGATGGCCGCCACGAGGTCTCGCCTCTGCTCAACAAACGCCGGGCACTCTGCCAGCCGTGTCCACGGTCTGGCCATCGCCTTGCGGATCAGACACAGGTGATCCCCGAAACATCCTTTCCCAGTGATCACCTGCGTCAGTCGGTATGAGAGGGTCCCGTGACGCCTCTCGAGCCAATCCTCCATAACGGGTCTTTCCGCCGCGATAACAGCGTGCCAGGCGCTCGGTTGCCCGAGTCGTTCCCTCCACTCCCCAGATTACCTGGCGGAGTTGGGATTTCCAGTCTCTCTCCTCCCGCGCCTCCTTGCGCCACTGATACAGAGCCGCAAGGGCTCTCGCCTCCAGCTCCCACGGTGGAGTTCCGGCCAGGAGACTCGCAGCCTCAAAGGAGATCGTGCGGTACGCCCTTATGATCCTGATGGCCAGTACTCGCTGCGGTCGTCGCAGTATCGCGACGTTGCTGGCCTTCAGGGCCCACTTATATTATACCCTACAATGATATAATACAATTAGCTGGTTTTTGTTAACACTATAAAGTGAATAAAAAGGCCTTGAGTTTCCTCGATTACTTCTCACAAGGTTTCAACCATTTGGAAACGGACGGTAATAAACGATAGACGATTTCAAATTACTTGAAATTACCAATTTTATGCAAGAAAAAAAATTATTTTGAATTCCTATTTTGTTTTTTAATGAGGGTATGTTGTATACTCTTTTCAAGCGATATTCATGGAATACATCATTTGGTTTGGATCGATTGATTTTTATATTTCGTTTGAATTTACGAGCCTGAAACAAAATCCAGTTTTTTTTTTATTTTTGTTTAACACGTTGTAAATAGTTAATGCATAACTTATTCACCTTTACGAGAAATATGAAGTAATTGACCGTTAAATAATTAAACTGTGTGTTCTTTGTTTCAGAGAGTTTAAGCTGGTGCTAAAGCCTGATTCCAGCTCTGTTTTCTCGGACGATGTACAATTTCATTCGACGAGTGGTCAGCTGGACTACAATCCTTCACACGTCTACTCCGGGAAGCTGGAAGGTCAGTATTGAAATATAATGAAATAAAAAAAATGTGTTTGTAATATGAGGACAATAGACTAATAATTCAGTAATACTGTACAAAGATCATACGCTTTTTTTTATTAATTATAAAAGAACGGAATATTGTGGTAAGTTGTAGCCTTTTTTTAGGTACTCTTGTATGAGGCTCAGTGAGCTCTTTTTCTCACAGATTCCGTTAAAGGCCTTTTCAAACGCAATCATTATATTTAGGTATATTAACGAAAACATTGTAAGCTTTTTACATGGACGTATAAAAAAAGTCGGACATAATCTCGCTATCAAAAAACGGTGTCACTCATAGTCGGCCATCTCGCTGTATGTACAGGCTGTCACGCTCACATACACACATTAGTCAGCCATTACTCGCGCATATATCGAGGCAGCGATACACATTACGCGGCGTAAAAATATAAATATACACAGCATGTTTCGCTTGGTGCTTTGTTTAATTCTTTAAAAATCGTAGTGACCGAAAGAAAAATAATCAAGGAAACGGTTTCATATTTAAAAGAATAGTTCAATCTCTTATTTCTAGATTTTATAGAACTAGAATTATAGAATTTATTACAAGCCCAATGTTGTCAATTTTCACGTGTGCATATTACCCGAAATGCAGGAAATTTCTATTTATTATTAAAATCAATTTATTAAGGTTATTTATTTATTAGTTACTACTAGGTATTATATTTCATATTCTTTTCTAAGGAAAATGGAGTATGGAGAAATTATTTGATTCAAATAATTAGAAATTGTAATGGTGATAATGAAAATGAAAGAATAGAAATATATTCTCACAAAAATTCTAGAAAAGCTTTTTGGCAATGAAATCGTTTCTTAAACTTAGAATCCAAACATACTTTCGCCGGAATAGATCACCAAATAAGTCTTATGAAATATATAGCAATTTAATTAAACAGTAGAAATATTAAAATTTCAAATAAATAAAATATTTTTATTAATCGACAGTCGATTTATGTATGTCTTTAGGGCATAAATTTGGCAACCCCAAATTCATTCGCACATAGAGAGCTGCCGCCATTACGGTGCCTCAGTGTCATAGCGGGAGTTCCGTCCGACTTTTTTATAAGTCCATGGCTTTTTAATATATCTTTTAGACAAGCACGAACTTTAGATAAGTACGTACTTTAAATATATTTTTACGAGCCTGGGTGGCAATAAAAAGGAAAATCAATAATTAGACATCATCAATTACACATCTATCCCACTAGAATAGGCTTGTCGATGTTATGAATATTCTGGTCTAATTCATCTTCATATACAAGTGGCCAACATTACTTCGATACCAGTCTGCAGTTACCAACTTCTTAAATTAAAATACAATTACTTCTGAACACTGCTTCTTTTAGTTTTCTTGAGAAAGTATCTGTTGTGAAGATTGTATTTTCTTTCAGTCTCGTAAAAATTGATTTAGCTTTTATCACCTGTGACAATAGCAAGTACAACCTTGAAATCACCTTCGTTTCGCACTTCGTGGCACTAACCAAAGCGAGGGGTTCAATTGATCTTTTATCAAATTAATATTATTCGTATACCGCAATACTTAGTAAAATTTCTTTAAACTTTACGAATTCGTCGACCCAATCTCAAGTTAAATTATTATTTCTATTAAGCTTCATTGACATTATTATACTAAAAAATTTAGGCCGTCAAACTAACTTTTGACATTCAAGTAACAATGACGGTTTATCATAGAAATAATTTATATTCAAAATTCCCTTGAAAGTAGGCATGATACAATAAATTACTCTCTTAATTAATTTCAGTAACCTTGTACAGTTATTTAAGTAATTGCTTGTCAACTCTTACGTCGTGTCACGAAATCAGTTTTGGTCTTAAATGCGATCCATTTCACTTTTTAGTTTAGTTTATAATAAAATAACTTATATTCCTAATAGCAACTATTACTTTCTTTTTCTAAGGAGAGGCCAATGTTCAGTAGTGGACTATTAAAGGCGTTGAAAATGATACCTGATAGCAAAACCCCTTAATAGGAAAGTTATTGCTTAAACTATTTCGCAAAAATGAACGTTTGAAACCTTTAGAAATGTATTAGGATTTACGACCTTAAGCTGAGTCTAGGTTCGCCGTTTATCCCGATATGATAATGTAACATTATAAACGAGAAAGTGAACCGTAGCTTATGTTACTGATGAACTCTTCATCATCATCATCATCATCATCATCATCATCGCAGTCCACTACTGGACATAGGCCTCTCCCATTGCACGCCACTCGATCGATTTTGGGCTTCTTGCATCCAGCTCCTGCCAGCCATCTTGCGCAAATCGTCACTCCACCTGGCCTGTGGGCAACACTACGTTTGCCGAGACGCGGTCTCCACTCAAGAACTCATTTTCCCCAACGGTTGTCGGTTCTGCGGCTAATATGGCCAGCCCACTGCCACTTCAGCTTGCTGATCCGGTAGGCTATGTCGTGACCTTTGTTCTCTACTGGATCACCTCATTCCTGATGCGATCCCTTAGAGAAACGCCGAGCATAGCCCTTTCCATAAACTCTTGCAACTATAAAATTATATTCGCTTAGTTTCATATACCAGCTAAATTATCTTTACGAATATGTAGTAAAAAATAAAATAAAACGGGATTTTCAAAAAAAGAATATCATCTTTCCGTGAAAGAATATCAAAAATTTGGAGTAAATTAAAAGTAAAGGTAGGTAAGTAAGGTAATGGCAAGTAACGGCAGCAAAGGGATATTGCTTATACAGACCGATAGGAGAAAATAAGGAGTGAAGTGGATTTATTGTATTTCTAACTCCTCCAATTCACTTCTGATTAATGTCGTTGCGGGTTAACAGTTTAGCTTTTCCTAGGGCTTCCCGGGTGTCACAACTCCGTGCGTTCGTGTGTCACTGCTGTTGATCCTGATGCAGGAGTAACAGTAGTGAGAACGTATGGGAGTTATTAGTAGATGGATTGGAGAGTTTAAGGAACAGCTCGAGAAGGCCAAGGTCGCATACCGGTTGTTCCGGGCAGTATGAGCCCTCTGAACTAAGCTGAAAGTGACTTCTTTAAAACTCCAAAAAATAAACATAACACAACTAATTCTACTTAACTTGTAAAACATTCAGTTATGTTCAATAGTATGTACAAGAAACATTATTCACTATCCTTTTTCTTTTTTTTATTCTAATTGTGGGAACCGAATAATAGCAATTAAATATAACGAACTTAAATACAATCAGAAAATCTTTAATCAAAGCTGCAAAAGCAAAGGTAATTAATGTACAAAGTCAATATTAAGATAACGGTTCTGTAACAATTTAATTGTTATGTTAAACTGAGCACACATGTGTTGCCATACATAATGAGAGATCACATAATATTGCCAATGTTGCCACATGATGATGTAATCCGAATCTTAGCCAAGAATCCCGCTATCTTGTTTTTGTAGGGTTGCCAGAATATAGATCAGTAAAAATAAAGTCATATTTGAAACTTTTTCTTTATAAACGTGACATACATTTTTCTAAAGCTTATTACTATAACTATCACGACATAATATACACAGCTCTCAATTTTCTTTAACTATACTAACTCTTGACAGGCCTGGTGGTTCGAGTGTTCGATTCCCACCCAGGACAAATAACGGTATGATGAGCACGATCATTTGTTCTATGTCTGGGGGTAATTTGTCTGTAAGATGTATTTATTTAGAAATATGTAAATTTGTTTCTCAGCAGTCTGGTTACGATCGTGCAGGCTCTGCATAGTTTGGGATCAGACGGCCGTGTAAGGTTATTATTACAACATTAGACCAATCGTAACGTTAAATTTCATATTTCTCTTTAAGAACTCGCTAGCCAATAATTTTAATAGTTCTTATATCTTATATACATATGATATTAAAACAGATCAAGCATAAATTATTATCATTACAATTCAATGTGTGTGTTTATAATTAAAATATGTTCAACATTTAGCAGTATTACCCTTTTTTTTGTGTGGAAATCCTCTCGGATATATATAAAAAAATATATATTAAAAATAAAATATATGTTCAAAATAAAAAATAAAGTATTAAATATTTATATACGAGTATATTATGTCGGACTCAAACCGACCAAAAACCGCACGCCGTTTTGGATACCAGTAGCCGACCTAGTAAAGAAATACCTGGAACCCCATGTTCCCTTTGTGCTCCCGAAAGGGCGCGTGCGCTCCGCAGCGTGTCTCGCCGCCACCCCGGCCTGCTTCTGCTGAGTTAGCAGTATTACCCTGCAAATCCCCATTTGTTTGTTTGTTACAAATGGTTAACATGTTGAACCATACACACATGCCCCCAATCCCACAGAGGACAAAAAAAGATGTGTTATTAAAACGGTTTTTAAGAATTTTTAATCATATTTTTTTATTTCTTTATTTGTATTTACCATATTTTTATGGCATTGGGGAATACGGACCGTAAAATGCCCGTAGTGCAAGAATCTTGTACATATTTATTTAAAGCAGACCTTGCACATTCTTTCTTCGTTAGAAATTTAAGAGTATAAGTATCGTTTGTCATCACATTTTTGTGCAAAAATAATAACTATCCATTACTCAGGGCGTTCATTACCATAATATGGCAATTCGTCAGCGCTGCACAATGAGAAAACTGTGGCAAAATCACGTCACGTGCGCATCAATTCCTTTGTGCCAAGTCATGAAGACTTCTCTCAACATAAGGACATTGATAAACCTTCGTTACCTAGCATATTTGTTGTTCTTAAATGTCTTCTTTGTAGGTTTTAATATATAAATTCATCATCATCATCATCAACAGTCTCGAATAGTGCACTGCTGTACATAAGCCTCTCCATAGAAAGGAGGTTTTGGACTACTATACCACGCTAGCCTGACGAGTTGGTATCGGGTTTATTTAGTTTTTCTTTCGCTTTGCAGAACTGTGTAGTTTTGCTCCCTTAACCGGTGGTTACACTCCGCATTCTTAAGCC